ATACTTAATTCTGCCGGAACCACCAATTTTGATGAAAGGTAATTATTATATATGCATGTAAGTATATAAATAAATAAATAAATAAAAATATTGTTAGAATTTACATGTATATAATATTTGGTTTACAGATATGATATTGCATTGAGCGTCAATACATTTGGAGTTCGGCACATACTGAGCTTTGCGAAGAAATGTCTCAAACTAGAGATGCTGCTCCACGTGTCAACTGGTTAGTATTTTCTCGAGTGAGGCTTGCGTATGTGAGATTTGATTGTTAATACATACTGAGTAATGCTAGGCTTAGCACATTTATATACTACCTTTGTAATAGAGGTGGAGGCCACCAATACGATAGGGCCCACCTCTATTAAAGATGTGGTACACAATGTGGTATATAAATGTAATAAGCCTAGCATTTTCCATACATTAATATCAGGAATTTCCAACTGCATTTGCATTCACTCAATAGCAGGAATTGCCACCCACATATGTTGTTTCCCATGAGCCTTCATTTTCTAAACTTTATATACTCAAGGAAATGTTAAGTTTCAACTTTATTTAGAATTTCAAATTTTTTTTCTCGGTCTCAATTTCCTTTGATTTGCTTCACTGATATTTTGTGTTTTTCAGCTTATGTATGTGGTGAACGGGCAGGACTTATACTGGAGGACTCGTCATGCATGGATGACATGGTAAAGGGGATAACTAAATTTGATTTCAAAGTGCAAGAGAAGAATCTGGTTGAGGAGAAATTGAATCAACTAAAAGCAGAAGATGCGACAGAAGAAGTTATTACAACCACAATGAAGGATTTTGGCATTGAAAGGTTTAGAATCGATCTCATTATCCTTGTTTCGGACTTATTCCGAGTTTTGGACTTATTTTTCTCCAAATTTTGATCAAAAGCAAAAGAAAAAAAGATAAGAGCATGCAAAGAAATCTGACATTTTAAACACAGAATTTTTATCAATAAGAGCATTTTCACCTCATTTGTCATGACAAAAGGCAAGGGAAGGCAAGAGTTGTTATTATTCACGTGAAAGATAATTTAAACAAGTGCAACGGGAAGTAACAAACAAGTCAGTTACTTAGTTCTCTGACCCACTTGCTCATTTACTGAAATGAGTGCAAGATGTCTAATTAGGAATTGTTAGTATATTTTGCACTAATATCCTTGTCAGATAGTCTAATTATTATTTCTTATTCTTTCAAACAATTAATGATATAGGGCGAAATTGTATGGATGGCCAAACACCTACGTATTTACAAAGGCGATGGGAGAAATACTTCTAAAACACTCAAAAGATAATTTACACCATGTCATCATACGTCCAACCGTGATCACCAGTACTTACAAAGAGCCATTTCCAGGTTGGGTTCAAGGTTTCAGGTATGAAGCTTGCAAACACTTCTTTGGGAAATGTCATCATCCCCTAGGTTCTAGAACCAGTATAACTAAATTTAATCCCATATGCGTTGAATGTTTGTTGTCACAGAACCATTGATAGCGTAATTGGTGGTTATTGCAAAGGGCAAGTGACATGTCTACCTGGGGACCCTATGTCAGTACTTGATATGGTAAGTTTATTTATACTTCATAGCACCACAAATATCACAGTGGCACGCAATGATGAATGTTTAAGCAGAAACCCGACGTATGGAACTTACTATTCTTTTGAGGTTAATTAAGAAAACAATATTGTTGTTTCGTGATGTGGGTAAAAATATGCTTATCTAGTCAAATTATGAATTTGAACCATTGACTAGGTTGGTTTTTCCTGAATATGTGGTTTAGATTCACAGTTTGGCATCATAAGCATTAATGTGCTAGATCTCTT